CTCCCTCCCTCCTTCTCCCACCCCTCCTACCCAGTATCAACACGGCGTACGACCAAACCTGCAGCTCTTTGCCGCCGGGCAAACCACCCCTGGAGAAATTGTCAGGTATGGCCCATTTCTCTCCTTCCCTCCCTCCCTCGTGGCTTCCAAACCCCTCTTTTCCGCTCATGTACTTCCGTCTTACCTCCCTCCCCCCCGCCTCTTTTCTTACTCCTCGCCACCTCTCCTCTCCTAGCATCTCCCAATGGACCGCCGAGTCCCTCAAAGAGTTCCTCTTGGACAACCTCCATGAGGAGGACGACGAGGAAGAAGCGACGCGTCCAGGGAAACGAGCACGGGACGAGCTCTGAGCATCGATGGGGAGGGAGGGGAGGCGCGCGGGAAGATGATGATAGTGTTGCGGTCCGAGTCGGTGGATGCAAAGAAAGGAAGTCATGATAAAGATGCAGTGGACGGAAAGAAATATTTCCACAGGAATCAGCGTGGTGAAATAGCCGCTGGATTTGTGGGTTGTTGCTTTGACGACTCTGGCTTTATATCATGCTCGGCAGAGTGGCGTCTAAATCTGACATGGAAAGTGTATAGATGAGGTGCAGGTTAGTTACGGAGAAGGCGAGTACAGTCCATTGCCTCAGCTTTTCGAAATCTCCATCGAGCAATGTAAGAATTGCAAGCCACATCTTTTCCTAGCCATCGTGAGTTTTGCATGTCCTTCTCTCTTTCATATTTTTCTTCCCTATCGAACTCCTCTTGGGTTTTGAGCGTGCGGAAAAACAGACGTACACATGTGCACGAGGACCACCGACAGGGACACACCACGCACACAAAAACAGTGAGGCCCCAGAAATTGATGGCTTTTTGTCCTTATTTCGTGCAAGATTGTGCGGAAGGTCTCAGTATTTATTTTTTCCAGCATGCATGTTCCATACATTTTTGGCCTCCATCCTTTTCACCTCCTTGTCCGTGGTCGCACCTGGCCCTATTCTCTGCCACGACTCAAGGTTTTCAAAATCACTGATGGGTCACGGAAAGAATTCGCCATCTCAATCCTGGAAAAGGCAATGGGGAGGAACCGCGCGTGAGCCAGCCATGTTGGCACGTACGAGCACCCAAGTCTTGCTATGATGGGATATGGGCCGTGGGGCTAAGGACCGGTGGTAGAGATGCTTTAAAGACCTTCGACGTGGAAGCATGCCATGCACAGCGGCCTTCTACACGTGAGACAACATTTTAATACAAGTTGCTCTGTTACTTATGCCGGCTATATGACCGAGCACACGCCGTCCGGTTTGCTTTTGTCCTGCCGCCCGTCTCCACCTCCCTCCCTCCTTTAAGTTCCACCCGAGGCCGCCGATCCTCTCCACACGATGTTGCCACATTCCTTATGCAATCCTGTTTCAAGAGAGCTTGATCTTGTGCAAAGAGAGGGAATGAGTGTGCACAAGGCCGTATTGCAGGGTTTTAGGGGACCATGGTTGGAAGCGAAATGTTGATTGAAAAGCTCGAGTGGGAACATAAACGTGAGCTGCTGAAATGTAGCTCGCGCTGAGTACGATGAAAAATTTTCCACGCTTCTTTATTCTCATACATAGATGCTATCATCATTCCACTAGGCAAAAAGACTCAGAGATTTTCCGTCTGCGAATTTAGCTTCTGTAAACTTTGTGATCTCAGCATGATCGAACGTTTACTTCGGCGCCGCGCTACGACTAACTCGTCCTCTGAACAAGGTAATCACGTCGACCGAAAGGTTTATTTTAAAAATAAGTACAAATGATACTCTATATCTTATCTGGGAAATGTGGAATGGAGTGATCATCCTAGATCACGGAAGGGTCAGCACAATTGTTGATGCTCTGGACCGTATGGAACATAAAGTATGAGAGCTGACAACAGCACTCCCTATCCTTGCAATTTATTATCCTTGAACATACGACGCAGGGGATATGGTGTTGGAGCCCAGGACTAAGGTCTGGGTACCCGTTAAGAAGTCTCTGGTGCTGTCCGGGTAAGAAGTTCTCTGGTCAGGGCCTGTTCCTCTTAACTCCTAGAAATTTTGTCAAAATGCTGCTTCGCTATCGGAAGTTGCACGCAGCGCTCACAAACTTCCCTCGATCTACCCTCTTCCATGTTGGAGACGAGTGTGACCGAGGCCATGATCGTGTGTTGATGAATAATGCATGCAATCTCGATTTTTGGATACACACAGGGTCCCATTTCTTGAGGAGAGAATCCAGCCGGAGGAGGAAGAAGGTAGGCACCGGAATAGAATAGGCACAAACGCGCTGGGCAGCACGGAAGAAGGGAGGGAAGCCCCTCAGAGACATCTAGACCCGGCTGGTAAAGATGCTGCAACTAACGCGGGGTCCCGGGCAGCACCGCCTCTCTCCCTCCACTTGCTGGGGGTGGG